TAGAAAGATATAAACATTATCAGAAATGAATTACATTTTAGTCTGAGTTGAGATCGATAAATTTCTCAAGGATATTTATATCTTAATCTCTAATTATATCTCAAGGATCAGTCTCTTCGTAAACACTTGGCCGAAGAATTTCATATACTGTGTAGATTTTTATTTTGTTCTCATCTCTTTTACCTGTAACGTACATACAAGCAAGATTTCATGCCTTGTAATTTAAATTGAAACGCGCTCATTAAAGGACTGTCATAATTACCATAGTTTACGCATTAGTCATACAACAATGATGCATTCAAATGCATATGGTTCAAGTCGACATTAATAGAGATTATAAAGAAAGAGAACATGCAGAAGAACGATACGGGATGTACGGGGTAATAAAAAATATGTAGAAGACGAATTGACTCGAGGAAGATAAAACTGCGTAAATCACGTACGGAGATTTAAAATTATTGAAGCTATCCGTATAAAACTCGCTCCTTATCAGTAACGATTACACAAGCTTGTGGAGTACGTAGTACGTAGCAAAGAACGTGCGTGCACTTGTTAAGATTACAGTCAGCCGTGTAACTTGGTGTAACTATATATATATTCCGCAGAGAAACACATATATTCTAGTCTTGTCAATTGTATTGTACACGTATACAAATGAGTGAGTCGTTCTCTGGAATGACATAAAAGAATTTCGTGCTGCGGAAGATAGAGCGTTAGGAGATAAGCTAGTTTTTTAATTTCTCAGTCAAACAACTGCTATCAAAAATTGTAGACGGAACAGTTTGTTTAGCTTATACGAGTCATATATCGAACACACGGGTAACCGTAACCGGGTAACTGCCGTGCGGTGCGGTGGCGTGTTAAAGGTGTCCGAAGGTTCGCTTTGCTATTAAACCGTTTAAGTATAACTCCTCTTTAATTATGCTCGTTTGAGAACGAACAGAGTTCGAGATTAATCAAATCGTATAACATAGGTCGCGCGTTATTCGTAGCAATTAAAGCCGATGAATATATTAAAAAACATCTCATCGGCGTTTTGGTCGCCCAACATTTGGTTACCGCATAATATAACATGGGCCGATATAAAACCGACTCCCTTAAACAAATATGCGGATTATCAACATTTAATCTATCCTCTGCCCATGGCATTGGTACTTCTGGTGATCAGATACGCCCTGGAAAGGTAATCACTGAATATCATTGCAATATTCTTGATAGTTCTTCGCTGAGGCTAGGGTTAACTCGCATTTACAATATATAGAAAAAAATGTTTTACATTTCTATAACTTATTGTACGAATTCTGCCCTGTATGACTCTATGAAAGAAAATAGTATGAACGTTCAAATTAATTTGTTACAGCAATGGAAAATATAATTAACTATCTAAATATTAAATTTTAATATTTTTGAAGTCCGAAGTATGAATTAAATTTGTTTCTAGGTACTGTTTTGCACCTGTTGGTAAATCGTTGGGTATAAGAAATACCAGAAATAAGAAAGCCACACCAAATGAAATCTTAGAGAAAGCCTACACTAGTCGAAAGATAAAACACAAACAGGTATAACAATGATTGATCACGTATTCTGTAAGATAGCATTTAATTATGAATCTATTTGAAATCTCGAAGTTAGGATTTTGGATTTAATAAATTTGTTAGTTTATTCTACATTGTAACACCTCGCTTAAGGAGTCCATAAAAGATCTAAATCGATCTTTTTAATATTAGGTTCTCAGAACACAGATTTTAAGATTAAAGTAAACTGAGAAATGATAGAAAGTTTAATGAATATTTTATAATATGTGGAATATATTTTAAGATTCTGGCGCTGGCTAAGCAATTAGATTGGTCCGAACGTCAAGTTGAAAGGTGGTTGCGATTGAGAAGAGCTCAGGACAAGCCGTCGACGCTCACTAAGTTCTGCGAGAACAGGTATGATCCCTTTATAACTTGTCCATTTAATCGGACTTCATTGAATAAGAATAAAAATGGAAATCTGGGAATCTGTTTCAGCTGGAGATGTTTGTACTACACCTATTCCTTCATCTATGGGTTGATCATCTTGTGGAACAAGCCCTGGTTGTGGGACATCAAACATTGTTACTATAACTATCCTTATCACCCTGTATCGAACGATGTTTGGTGGTATTATATGATATCCATGGCGTTCTACTGGTCGCTTAGTTTCTCACAGTTCTTTGACGTTAAGAGAAAGGATTTCTGGCAGATGTTCATTCATCACATAGCCACGATAGTATTAATGTGCTTCTCTTGGGTGGGCAATCTTACCAGAATCGGTACTTTGGTGTTGTTAGTGCACGATTGTGCTGATATTTTTCTAGAAGTAAGTACATACGACCACCAGATGTATAAGTTTCCGTGTATAATATTCATTCGTTCGTACTTATTAATTCTTCTTGCAGGCTGCCAAAATGGCTAAATACGCTAATTACCAGAAAGTATGTGATTGTATATTCGTTATTTTTACTGTACTGTGGATTATTACTCGCATCGGTGTCTATCCATTCTGGATAATTCACAGGTACTTATTAAATGAAAAACTAAATTATATGAATTAAAACAGTTTTAAAGTAGAAGAAGTTATATGAATCATAATCTTAATTATTGCAGCACGTCGATAGAGGCACCTAAAATAGTACCGATGTTCCCAGCTTACTATATTTTCAATTTCTTATTAATTTTACTATTAATACTTCACATGATCTGGACCTACTTAATCTTAAAAATCGCGTACAACGCTTTTTACGCTGGTCAAGTAAGTATACATCTTTATAAAAGTGGTCATCTCGAGATTACGTGGCTGTAAGATTCATACATGTCTAATTTGAATTTCAGATGGAAGGTGATATTCGTAGCAGCAGCAGCGAGGACATCTCTGACAATTCTTTAGATTATGCGCCGTTACATAATTCCGTGAACTCTACGCAAAATTCTAGACAAAGGATTCACTAACGTTTAAACGTACTCCTTAAGTCGATAAGGATTGAAATAGCCAGGCGCTAATTTATTTCAGTGAATTTTAATATATCTCCTTGCATTTATTGTAGTACGATAATTAATTAAATCTTCGATAAAATTACACGAAAAAAAGGTCGTGGACCTACGAGATACTCCATCATTTTTTTAAGATAATAATTAGCGTTTCTTATTGCCTAAAAGTAAAGGAAGTCATTCAAATCTATTCTTAAGTGATTCATTGTTGTTTCCATTATCTATTGTAAACGATTATTATCATATNAATACGTACTTTAGCGGTTCTGTATGCACAAATCTACACTTCTTCCTTTTTTATGTAGGTACTTATATCCATAAATCTAACCGAGCGCATTCGCTGTATTCGTGTAATCGCTAATTAAACTAATTAATTATTAATTAATCACTATTCGTACGCGACACAACGATTAAGTGTACGTATATACATCCGTCAGCATCGTTATCGAAAACTTTTTCTCTTGCCCTTTTTGTATCCTCGTCATTTGTAATATAAATAAAATTTGTTTAAATATATAAAATACTAGTACATATACATAATAGCTTCATCTAACAATCGATGTCGATTTAGACTTGAATTAAACTTTTCTGTCATCGTAGTCGCGTTACTTTATTTCTTTAATGTACACAACATTTCTTTATCTCTTCTATATATGCTGTAATCAGTACATTATATATATATAGCATTTCTCTGTTCTTTATTGTTTTAAATTAAGTTGAAAATATGATAATTTCCATGTAGAGAAGATTTTCTTTTGAACAAATGCAGAAACAAAAATAGGGGATTTTGCAAAATAAAAATCTTCGAGTCACATGGAGAATCGTTTTCAAATAAAACAGTGATAAATAATTTACATTTATCATATATACTTTTCTCTTTCAAATTGTTTGTATGTACATTACATTATACAGATTCATATACATTCACACGTGTATGTTTCTTCTTGTATACACACAAGTGGAGTGTGTGTTATACAAAATTTTACAAATGCATCTAGTCATACCACTTAATCCCAGATACGCACAATAACGAACAAAAGTATTGGTAATAGTTATATCGTATAAAATCTATGTTCACTTGAACAGATGCAATTTATTATTTACAATCCTTCTCTCTTCTCGTACGTCTTATTCTCACGTTAGCACTTTTCTTTCATTAAAAGCCAACTAAATTATGTTTTATCGTTTCCTTTTATGATCGTCGATATAAAAGTTAATCCTTGACACGTTTCAGTTTGTAACAAAATTATACGCGTCCTCGGGATCTACATAAATTCTCATATGATTGATCCGTACCAATACTTCCAACCGTCAATGTCCGTACATACATAATTTCTATATGTACATATGTATACTCGTTTATACAAGACCCCCCTGCGACGATTGCGTATTCGTTTGTTAATCTATTTACAAGCGTTAGAGCACCTCTAACTCGCGCGATTATCTAAACACGAATTTTGTACAAACCTCGTTTTTTTTGTACACCATGTCTTATTCGTACAGTCTCTACAAACTTTTTCTTAATTCCTTCCTTCTGTTTATGTTTCTGCATCTTATAGCAAAATAATCTTATACATGATTTTTAGAATAACATTCAAATTCCATATTGTAGATCTAAACTTAATCGTGATTTGCTTTCAGTCGGAATTCTTTACTTCGTTCAATTGAAATCATAACTTGATTTGGATGTATGATTTATGAGTGATTTTGAATGTCGCGAGAACGATCTTATTCGAATCCTTTTGTAGAGATCCATTTAAAGAATTTTAGAAGTTTAGAAAAATACCTGATCTTTTAAAAGACGTATCGCGAGTACATTTAGAAAAGATTTTTATCGAACTAAAAGTAAAATGTTATTCTATATATGTATACAGTCGGTCCCACAAAA